CCCCCACCCACCCCCATTTCACAAAGGAGTTCTTTCCAAAGCCGTTCCTGCCTTCCCTCCTGGGAGCAGTGGAAAGAGAGAGCCTGTGTTTCCATCAGGTGGCAGCGGCTCCCGGTCTTCACGGTTGTGACAGAGTGAGCGGTTTAAGCCTGCCCCTGGAGTGCAGGGCAGGAGGAGGTAGCCGCCATGCTGGGCCACCCCAGATGTCCCCTGAGGGTCCTGCTTGTTGACAATGGAGACCCCATTGAGAGAAGGACTGGCCCAGCCCCAGACGCAGACAGACAGACGCTGCGCTTCCCGGTTCCTCGGGCCTGGCTCTCCTCACAGCCACCTGCCTGTGCCCACCCATTCGGGTGACTCCTGCCACTGACCCGTGTGCTCCAAGCACCGTGTGGACATGCCTGAGGCCTGGCGAGAGCTCCTGGCATGAGGGGCCGTGACTGCACTGTTGGTCCCTTCTGGGCTGAGTCAGGGTCCGTGGCTGGGGCTGAGGAGAGTGCCCTTGGTGGGCACTGATGGTGTGGGTCGCATGCTGGGCTGCTAACTCTGCAAGGTCAGCTGTTTGAAACCACCAGCCACTCCTAGGGAGAAAGAAGAGGCTTTCTACTCCCAAAAAGATTTACAGCCTCAGAAACCCACAGTGGCAGTTTTCCGCTGTCCCACACGTAGGGTCACTGTGGTTGGAATCGACTCGCAGGCACGAGTCGCGTCTTCGGCTTGGACAGAGGGCAGTGTGCTGGAGTAACGTGGTGGATCCTCCACCCATGGCCCCCTTGCTTTGCACGATCCTGTGGGCACATTCAAGACAGAAAATACGTGAGCAAGGTGGTGGACGGGAGGGGCATCCAGAAGCCAACGCTTCTGGTACCCCACTGTCTCACAGTTGAGGGGAGGGCTAACTTGATGGCACTATGGGGAGGGGCTGAGACTTGAGGGCCATGGACAGTGGGAGCCATGCTTCCTCCTTGTGGGGGAAGGTCCCCGTAAGGGCAGGAAACTCTAAGGAACTGATGGAGGTGAGGAGCGGATGGGGAGGGGGTGGCGTGCCCCAGCCCAGAAAGGATGTGGCTGGGCTGAGGCACTTCCCTCCGGTCACACATGCTCACGGAATGTCAGCCGCAGCAGCAGGGCCACGCCCGTCTGTGTCACCTCTCGCAACACCGGCTCAGCTCTCACCCGTTTCCACTCCAAGCACATGGTGTGGCCGGCCTGCCAGGGGAGCCGAGGGACACAGAGCAGGTGTGGGGAGGGTCAGCTGCAGGAAGAATGCTGTCCGTCGGGCTGGGCCCCAGGGACTCCCCCGGTTCCATGTCCCTGAGCCGCCTGGGAGACGCAGCTGTTCTAACTATTGGGGTGGTGGGCGACTCTAGATGGGGTTGGAGCCTACGTGTTGCCTGGGGAGGGCTTTCCCACCTCACCCAACGCCCTCCTGCTTCTGCAGACTAGACCCCTGCTCCACAGCCCTCCAAGCAGCTCCTCTGCCCTCACACACCAGCCAAGTCTCACCCTCCTCTTTGCACCAGAACCAGCCGCAGCAAGACCCTCTCTCTGTTCTCCTCTGGCCCTGGGTCTGA